AGGCAGCTGGGCTGGGTGTCCTGAGCCCGTTGTGACAGCTGAGCTTGAATCCCTGCCTTTGCTGCCCGTGCCTTCCTGCTGCAGAGGGGAGAGCTCAGCGGGGCTGGCCTGGGTTGTTCTGGCATAGACTGAGCCCAGGAACCCTGCAGCTGGCTGCGCTGGGGTGGCAGAAGTTCCAGCATCCGAGCTCTGAGTCCTCCTCAGGCGGGCAGGTGTTCCCCCTGCCGTGGGGTTGGTGGCCGTGGGCCCTTTCTCTGTGGGCAGCATTCCCGTGGGCCCTTTTCTTGTGGGCATCATCCCTGTGGGCCCTTTCCCTGTGGGCAGCATCCCTGTAGGCAGAACCCCTGTGGGCCCTTTCTCTGTGGGCAGCACTCCTGTGGGCCCTTTCCCCATGGGCATCATTCCTGTGGGCAGCACTCTTGTGGGCCCTTTCCCTGTGGGCAGCACTCCCATGGGCAGGACTTCTGTGGGCCCTTTTCCTGTGGGCATCATTCCCGTGGGCCCTTTCTCCTTGGGCAGCACTCCTGTGGGCATCATCCCCGTGGGCCCTTTCCCTGTGGGCACCATCCCCGTGGGCTCTTTCCCTGTGGGAATCATCCCTGTGGGCCCTTTCCCTGTGGGCACCATCCCCGTGGGCAGCACTCCCGTGGGCAGCCAGCCCTCCCCTGCCCTTCCCACGGAGATCCCAGCTCCGGGGGGAATTGCAGACGCTGCCATTTCTCTCCTTGGCGGATGAAAATCCAGCGCTGGGGTCACAGGAGAAGTTTTAGGGCTTGGCACCTCCCCGTGCTTGATGGCAGGAGGGGGAGAGAGAGCCGTGAGCTGGGGAGAGTGCTGGTGTGTCCCTGCACTGGCAAAGGGCTGGGGCAGCCCCGAGATGGAGCTGGGAGGGCTGAGCCCAGCCCCAGGAGCACCTCCTGCTTCTCTCCGCAGGGCTGTGGGGGCCTGTGTGGAGCTGTTCCAGAACCTTCCAGGAGGTGAGTGTCCATCCTGGGCTGTGGGAGCCTGTGATCCCTGTGTGGAGCTCCAGAACCTTCCAGGAGGTGAGTGTCCATCCTGGGCTGTGGGGGCTGTCCTGTTTGCAGCTCTCCCCGTGTGGGACACGGGCTCAGGGCTTGTTCCAGAGGTGGGAGCAGCTCCTGGGCTCTGGAAGGTCCCCTCAGCCCAGTCCCCCTCGGTGACGGGCTCGGGGCTGCTCGGGGCTGCTCCAGCAGAGCTCAGGGCCAGCGCCCCGCTGCCAGCACGGCCACTCCTGGAGGCACCTGGGGACAGAGGACAGGCCTTGGGCTCAGCTGGAACCAGGACTAAACTGCTGCAGCAGCACCTCAGCACAGCTGGACTGAGCAGGCATGGGAGCTCTGGCACTGCCAGCCCCAGTGCCAGCCCCAGTGCCGGTGCCATTGCCAGTCCCATTGCTAGTCCCATTCCAATTCCCAATCCCATTCCCTTTCCCATTTCCCAATCTCATTCATTGTCCCAGTCCCATTCCTGGTCCCAGTCCCATTCCCATTCCAATTCCCAGTTCCATTCCCAGTCCCAATCCCACTCAAATTCCCATTCCCATTCTCAATCCCATTCCAATTCCCCAGTTCCATTCCCAGTCCCAATCCCATTCCCATTGCTATTCCCATTCCCAGTCCCAATCCCACTCAAATTCCCATTCCCAGTCCCAGTCCCATTCCCATTCCCACCACCCTCCTCCTCTGCTGCTGCCATCCAGCACCACCTGAAGCACCCAAGGCATGAAGCAGCCAGAGAGGAGCCCTTGATTTCCAGAGGGGAACCAGGACAGGCTGGGAGCTCAAAACAAGATTGAGATAAACCTGAAGGAGCTCCCTCCAGCAGCGTCCCAGTGCCACCAGGAGTTTCCTGGTGAGAGAAACCTGAAGGAGCTCCCTCCAGCAGCGTCCCAGTGCCACCAGGAGTTTCCTGGTGAGATAAACCTAAAGGAGCTCCCTCCAGCAGTGTCCCAGTGCCACCAGGAGTTTCCTGGTCCCTACAGGGTGTCCAGGAGCTTTGTTTTGGAGCAGAGAGAACACGGCAACTTCTCAGCCCCAAAGCTGCCACTTTGTCACTGAAAAAAGCAGCCCCTTGGTTTAAAAGGCTATTCTTTTCTCCACACTTTTTTCTTTTTCTGTCTTCACATCAGAAGGTTGATTTCCAAATTACCCTTTGCAAACCACAGACTGAAATGGATTTTCCTCCCCAAAATCTTTAAGCATTTTTCCTTAGGCACCTGCCAGGATAAACACAAATCTAAAGGCTTAAGTGTCATGCATTTAAATTGTGATTTTTGACAAAAGCGAAGCAGAGGCTTAGCAGCTTCACAAAAAGAATAAAATTATTGATTAGGCAGAAAATTCTTTGCCATTTCCTGAGTTTTTCTCTCCTGAAGAGAACAGGCAGCCTGAGGACGCAGCAGTGCTTCCAGCAGCCCAGGGAACGCTGTGCCCTGGCAGGGATGCTCCCAGGCAGCAGCAAGGTGGAAAGGGCAGGCTGGAGCCCTGCTGGGAGTGACAGCAGCCCCGGGAGCTCTGCTGGGCACAGCACCCACCCAGCACTGACTGCATGCTCTCAGAAATGTTTGGCAGGACAGCTGTTCCCAAAGCACAGCATGGCCTGGAAAAGGGACTCCGAGCAAGCCTTCAGCAGCACCAGCCTGATCCTCAGTGCTGCTTGGAGTTCCTCAGGAAAAGGGATTTTTAATTTGTTTTCCCCTTAAAAACAGTGTTTCCTTTGGGGCGCTGAGCAGCACAGCATGTCCTGATGAGGGGCCACTCACACCCCAAGGTGAAAGCATTGCACCCAAACCCTGGGCTGCACAAACAGGGTGAGGCTGCTCCTGCATCCCAGAGCTGCTCCTGCATCCCAGAGCTGCCCCACACCCGAGCCTGGTGGGGTTTAGAGCAAGAGCAGAGGCAGAAAAGCAGCAGGAGCAGAACCAGAGAGGCAGAAGAGCAGCAGGAGCAGAACCAGAGAGGCAGAAAAGCAGCAGTTCTGGGGAGCAGAACAAAGCCCAGCACTCACCAGACAGATCCAGCAGTGCAGCTGCCAGCAGGACAAAGAGGGGGAATTTTTCCTGCATCTCCTGAGCCATCCCAGTAAAGAATGTCCCAGCTGGCAGCAGCTCCCTGGGGAGCCACGGCCGCCTCCCAGCCACGGGCATGGGCTGCTCTGCAGGGCAGCAGAGGGTTGGGTCACTTTATAAGAGCTTAGGCCACACACCAACCAATAACCTGGTCCAGGAAAAAAAAACAAACCCTGCGCCAATTGGAATCAATCGGTTTTTAACAAAAGAACAGAGGTGGGCAGGTGGGTTGTGCATCCAAAAGGTGGAAAATGCGACTGTGAGCACCAGAGGGTGCTTGAGCAGCCCTGGGGGAGAGCTGAAAGGCTCCCTGGAGGGCTGGGGGAGGATGTGGAGGGGCTTGGATGCAGCCAGGGGAGGGGGACAGAGCTGGGAGTGCCTCCTGCCAGGCTCAGGGCTCTGGGGCTGCTCACTTTGGAGAAAAGCAGCTCAGGGGAGACCTCCTGGCTCCCTGCAGCTCCCCAGGAGGACGTGGAAGGGAGGTGCTGGGTTCAAACTGGCTTTTAGGAGGCATTTTTTAGCCAAGGAGGGGGTAAAACACTGGAAGGGCTCCCCGGAGAGGGGATTTTGTACAATGCCCTGAACACACTTTGACCTCTGCTCAGCCCTGGAGTGCTCAGGCAGCTGCATTGGGTGTAGGTCCTTTTTAACGGAACTGTTCTGTAATTCTGACTTTTTTTTTGCCAGTTTGTGGCAATGAAAACATCCCCAGGGATCAGCCTGGATCCCAGGCAGGAACAGAAACCACAGTGAAACCAGCACAGAACTCAAACCTTCCTGACAGTCCAGAGGCTTCTTGGGCACAATCACAGCTACACCCTTTTTTTTTAGCAATAAAGCCCCCAATAAATGTAAACATTCCCTGCAGGCAGCAAGCAGCACCCGGCAGGGATCTCTCAGTGCCAGGCACACAAACCTGCAGCCAGGCTGAGAGAGGATCCTGACTCAGCCCTGCCTGTGTGAGGCACTGAACACCTGAGCAGAGGCAGATAAGGGCCCTAATGACAGCTGGGAACAACAATGTTCAACAATATTCTCCAATATTCAACAATATTCTCCATTCTTCAACAACATTCCCCATTATTCAGCACTATTCTCCCCGTTCCCCAGGCTGAGGAGGGATCCAGCAGGAGCTCACCGAGCCCAGGGCCAGCCCAGCCCTGCCCTCCCCTCCCTGGCAGGACCAAGGGCAGGGCCCTGCAGCTTTTCTCCTCCCTGGAAGGAAAATTCCTGCCACTTTCAGAGCACCTGAAGCCTCCTGGTGGGGTTTGTTCCCTGTAACCCCAAACGAGGGATCCAGCAGGAGCTCACCGAGCCCAGGGCCAGCCCAGCCCTGCCCTCCCCTCCCTGGCAGGACCAAGGGCAGGGCCCTGCAGCTTTTCTCCTCCCTGGAAGGAAAATTCCTGCCACTTTCAGAGCACCTCCCGGTGGGGTTTGTTCCCTGTAACCCCAAATCCCCCAGATAATGAAACTGAGGTGATCCATTGCAGGCTTTGCATCCCAGAATATCCCTCCTCTGCAGGGGGATTCAGCTGCTCTCTCTCTCTGGAAAAAGCTGCTGGACAAAGGCTCCCCACAGAGCTGACACCCCCAGGGCCAAGGAGGGGAGCTGCGGAGCCATTTTAAACTCAAGCTGGGCTGAACTGTGCTTGTTCTTCACAGGAATGTAATAAATTCTTCTGTTTCCTGTGGTCAAAACCAACCAAAAAAAGCTACGCTGGATTTATGGCCATTAATTAAATTTATGTCAGTTATTGCAGCAAAGGCAGCCTAATGCAAGGGGGTGTTTTGGTTGGTAGGTGAGATAATAAATCAACTCCTTCCTCCTGATTTTGTTTCACTGGCTTCTGTGGGGGACCAAAACCACTCCAAAAAGCCACTGAAAAGTTGAATTCATTTTATTAAAGCAAAGAAAACTCAAGAGCAGTGAGACGAAGGGCACTTGTGGGGGACTCTGAGGAGCTCAGCTGCTGTGCACGTGTTTCATGGAGGAGTTCAGGACGGCCAGGCCATTGAGCTTCCTCAGCTGAGGGATGTGCCTGCAGAGACAACAGGGGGACAGCTGGTGACTAAAAATTAAAGTTTTAAACTCTCACTGCTCTGCCCAAGACTTCAGGGGTGTTTAATGCTGTATTCAATATAAAACAGGGTTTCTAAATAATAATAATAATAATAATAATAATAATAATAATAATAATAATAATAATACAGAGTTAATGCAGATACTCTTAATAGAGTTTCTAGATAATTACTGCCCTCAGAAAGGCACATAACATTCTACAAATAGGTTAATTTCAGATTAACAAAACTAAGAAAATAAAAGAGTTTCTCTTCTATCTCTGTTGTTTCAGACAAATCTCAGGGCTGATATTTTTTGCACTGCTCATTTGGGATCTACAGACTTTAACATCCCTTCTGTCCTTCCAGCACAGGTCAGTGAAGTCCTTGAGAGATGTGGGGACACTGCACTGTGGGGAACTGGCACCCCAGCAGCCCTAAAGCAGGATTTGGGGACAGATCACAAGGGGGAATTCTGGCTGGAGGAAGGAAATAGAATTCATGGAGTTAAATTAACCTAACAGCTCTAGATTTGGCTCACCCTGGTTGGTTTCTCAGGGATTATAACAGAAAAGGGGAATAAAAAAAGGGACTTTTGGTGCCTACCTTGGCTCAGCCACGCAGAGCCTGCCCAGGGCAATGGCTGAGTTGTGCTGCACCGAGCTCCTGAGAGCATCACCCCCAGCCTGCCTGAGCAGCAGCTGCACCACGCTGGAGCCCAGCAGCGACGAGGCAGCCCCGGGCAGCAGCAGGCACTGGCTGAGGCAGAAAGCTGCATTGCCCACAGTCAGCTCATCGCCTGCCTGCAGCAGCCTCAGCAGCACCTGGAACCCTGGCAGGAGGGGGAATCTCGGTGAGACACAGCCAGGGCTCTCCAGCTGCTCCCTGCTGGCTGCAGGGACTGACTCTGGAGCTGTTTCCCTGGAAAATCTGGGGAGCAAGGGGATTTCGTGGTGATTTAGTGGCAATTTCAGCAGCCAGGAGCTGCCTCAGCTCCTCTTGCCCGGAGTCTCTCTCATAGAGAGCTCACCTGGAACCCTGGCAGGAGGGGGAATCTCGGTGAGACACAGCCAGGGCTCTCCAGCTGCTCCCTGCTGGCTGCAGGGAGTGATTTTGATGCTTTTCCCATGGAAAAGCTGGGGAGCAAGGGGATTTCGTGGCAATTGCAATGGGATTTTGTGGCAGTTTCAGCAGCCAGGAGCTGCTTCAGCTCCTCTTGCCCAGTCTCTCTCACAGAGAGCTGAAGGTGCCAGGTTAACTGCCTTAAAGCAGAGATGCTGCTGTGGAAAGAACAGCTGGGAAAAGGAACATAAAAAAAAAAAAAGCTTTCTGTGCATCCAGGTGTTATTTTAATAGAATAATCAGGGGTTGTATTAATAGGAAATCAGGGGTTATAGTAATAGGAAATCAGGGGTTATATTAATGGGAAATCAGGGGTTATAGTCATAGGAAATCAGGGGTTTATATTAATGGGAAATCAGGGGTTATTTTAATAGGGAAATCAGGGTTTATATTAATAGGAAATCAGGGGTTATATTCCTAGGAAATGACCACTTTCACTTACTTTTATCCCCCTTCAGCAGCTCTTGCTGGGCTCTGCTGCTGCTCCGGGTGCAGATGGCGAGGGTCTTTATGGCATAGCTGGATGTGAGCTGTCCCCCAGCCTGGGGTTGAACACAGGGGGCAAACACAGCTCAGCCACGGTGACCAGAGCAGCCTGGGCACCAGGGCACACTCAGGGAAACGAAAACCTTCACAGGGATTCATCTCACAGGCTGAGAATCTCATAAATCTCATTTAATTCCTGCCAGTAATGAACCCACAACATTCCCTGGGTCTCTGCAGGCCAATCCTTTTTAAATCAACTCCCCCTTGATAAGAGCCCAGTGCCACAGATTTTTTTCTATACTAACTTGATCTGCATAAACACCTGCTGGGTATAGATATACAGCAAAAACTGAAGAAATAAAATTAAAGAAGAATTAGAATTAAGAATTTTTTTTTTAAATGTAAGAAAGAATTAAAGGAAGAAATTAAATGGAAAAAAATTAAAGAAAAAATTAAAGAATAATTAGAATTAAGAACTAAAAAATTTAAGAACAATTAAAGAAAAAATAAAAGAAAAAATTAAGGGAAAAAATTAAAGAAAAACATTAAAGAAGAATTAGAATGAAGAATTTTAAAATAATTTGAAATGAAACCTGGGAGCAGTGTCACAATGGAGAAAGATGCAGACACATCCTCCAGGGAAAGGAGGATAAACCCAAGGGGAGTTAGATTTGCTCAGGGCAGGCAGAAATGAAGGAAATTGGATTTACTTTCAAGAATTTGAGCATTTTCTTCACCACTCCTCCTTCCACCACTTCCTCCACGGCTGAGGGGGACGCTGGCAGGACACGGCTCAGCACTCCTGTGGCTCTCTAAATGAGGGGGAAAGGAGAGGGAGAAGCAAAAGCAAACTTTTATTGCTCCGGGCAGCTGAAAATGCAGCTTTTGTGGTGACTTACTGTGACAATCCTTCCGTCCTGATGGCTGAGCAGAGCCAGGCACCTGCCACTGATGGGCACAGCAAAGTCCTGGAAAACACAGGGGAAACTCAGGGGGAAAATGGGGAAACACAGGGGGAAAATGGGGAAAACACAGAGGAAACTCAGGGGGAAAATGGGGAAAACACAGGGGAAACTCAGGGGGAAAATGGGGAAAACACAGAGGAAACTCAGGGGGAAAACACAGGGGAAACTCAGGGGGAAAATGGGGAAACACAGGGGGAAAATGGGGAAAACAAAGGGGAAACGCAGGGGGAAAACACAGGGGAAACTCAGGGGGGAAATGGGGAAACACAGGGGAAACTCAGGGGGGAAATGGGAAAACACAGGGGGAAAATGGGGAAAACACAGGGGGAAAATGGGGAAAACACAGGGAAAACAGGGGAAACAACACAGGGAATACTCAGGGAAAAGACGGAAATCTCTGGGGAAACTCAGGAAAAAGTCAGGGGAAACTCAGGGTTTCAGCTGAGCTGCAGCTGGGGCAGAAAGGGGCCCAAGGCCAGAGGAATCCCCTGGAGATCAGGGGACAGCTCTGCAGCACCCCAGGGGAATTCTGCCCTTCCTGTGGGACCCTGAGCTTTGATAATTTGGGAAGGTAACCAGGACCTCAGAACAACTGGAGAGTGGATCCAAACAAAATAACTCAGGGTTTCAGCTGAGCTGCAGCTGGGGCAGAAAGGGGCCCAAGGCCAGAGGAATCCCCTGGAGATCAGGGGACAGCTCTGCAGCACCCCAGGGGAATTCTGCCCTTCCTGTGGGACCCTGAGCTTTGGATATTTTGGGAAGGTAAGCAGGACCTCAGAACAACTGGAGAGTGGGTCCAAACAAAACATTTATACCACATGGAAAGATAATTTATGCACTTTACACTGGTTTTTCCTCATAACTGTTTATATACTGGAGGTGGTGGCAGAGGAGAAAATTCTGTAGCTTTTTTCACTTTTCAGCCTACTTAAATTATCAACTACCCTTAAAAACAACCTGCAACACTGCAATTTATTTATTTTTCTTTTAATTCCCAGCTGTTGCTTACCTGGATGGTGCCATTGGATTCAAGCAGCAGGTTCATCATCAGCCCCAGCACTGCAAACACACACTGCTGATACCCAGGGCTGGCACCAGGACACCCATCCTGGGACAGAGCAGGGCAGGAAAATCAGCTCCAGGGCCAGGACAGCCCTGCCTCAGCCTGCTGGGGCAGCTCCAGGGGAGGAAGGGTTCTGCGAGAAGCAGAGCTGAGGACACTGTGACACAAACCCACGTGTTTGGGACCCAGAGCTGCACCCCCCAAACTTGGCATGTTTGGGATGTCACAAAGATCCCTTCCCACCCCATGAACCTTCAGGTTTTGGGGACTGTGCTCACGGCACAGCCTCACCTGGGAGGTGTTAGAATCCTAGAATTTTCAGCTTTCTGTGCTGAAGAATTTTAAACTTTCTGTGCTGAGGAATTTTAAGCTAGAATTTCAAATGTTTTGTGCTGAAGAATTTTAAACAAGAATTTTAAACTTTCTCTGCTGAAGAACTTTAAACTAGAATTTCAAACTTTCTGTGCTGAGGAATTTTAAACTAGAATTTCAATCTTTCTGTGCTGAGGGATTTTAAACTAGAATTTTAAAGTTTCCCACTAGAAAATACTTTATGTGACCTGAGGCCACAGAACAAGCTTCCAGCAGGAAGGGGCCACTTTGAAGGGACACAGCAGAGGGGGAGCAGCTCTGAGACCTCCCCCCAAAAGCTGGAGGGAAGGGCTCAGGGCTGTGAGGGGAGCACACAAACAGGGAGGTTCCTTACCAGCAGCTCCAGGCAGGCCTGCCAGCACTCCCTGCTCTGAGCCAGCTGTGCCCGCAGCCCAACATCTGCACAGAGGCTGCCCAGCACGGCCACGGCACGGGCCAGGGCTGCCTGCTGCACCTGCCTGGCACACGCCTGCAAACACAGCAAGGCAAGGCACAATCAGCCCAAAAAAAAAGAAAATCAGCCCAAAAAACCCCAGAAAATCAGCCCAAAAACCCCAGAAAATCAGCCCAAAAAAAGCACCAGCAAACAGCACTCTGTGTGTGTGTGTGCCACCCCTCTGGCACTCCAGGAGCTCTCAGGCAAACCCCAGCTGCCCAAGGTGTCACAGTCATATTTTCTGGAAAAATCCCTTTGCCCAGGATTCTGCTCCTGGGAAGCTGAGAAGCCTCAGAGAAAAATGAAAACAATAATTATCTGATTTGCTTCTCCTGTGTTTTGCTGCTTTGGAATGCGGTTGGACATTGTTTACCCACAGGGGATTGTTTTGTTGGTTTCGTGTAAATTGTTTTGACTTATTGGCCAATCACAGCCAAGCTGTGTCAGACTCTGGAAAGAGTCCAAAGTTTTCATTATCTTTTTAGCATTCTGTAAGTATCCTTTATATATTCTTTACTATAGCTTAGTTTAGTATTCTTTAATATAATATAGTATAATAAAATAATAAATTACCCTTCTGAGAACATGGACTCAGATTGATCATTCCTTCCTGCCACGGGGGACCCGCAAACACAACACCAAGGTTTGCAGGTTTCCCTCATTTTCACTTTATCTCCTGCTTTATGAGCCCTGGGCAAAGGGGATTTTGTGTCCCCTAATGCCTGAGTGTGAACATTTCCTGCAGTCACTCCCTGGGGGCACAGAGCAGCTGCTGCAGCTGGAATTCCAGCAAGAACAGCCACAAACAATTGAGAGTTCTGGAATTATTGTCTTGCTGCTCATTTGGAGAAATGGGAGTATTTTACTGCCCAGCAGAACCCATCTGCCCCCTTCCTCAGGACAGGTTTCTGCACCAGCACATTTTAAATTTGCTGTTGGATAAAGGATGCTCAGGGAAGGGATTCTTTATCTCAGCACCCAATGCCATCTCCTCACCCTGATCCCTCAGATCAGAAGGCAAAAATCACCATCCAAGACAGAACAGGGGATTAAAGTCACAGCAAGAAGAGCAAAACTCAAAGCTGAAGGTGAAATTATCACTGGAAATCCGCAACCAAGGCCAGAGTTTATACTGAATATTAAACTAAGAATGTGTAGGACAAAATATTGGAGAAAAGGAACATTTTCGTGACAAAACTCAATCTCTTACACTCATAGAGCAGACACAGGACGTGCTACAGAAAAACAAACTGGAAATACAAAATCAGATCTTCCCTACCAGCAACTGGGTGAATAAAGGTAAAACATCCGTGGAAAACGTGGCCCTACACTGGCTTTGGAACCTGTTGGGGGATAAAAACCCAAAGTTTTAGTCACAAACCACAGCTGAAGGCAAGAGAAGAGCAGTAGAAAAACCTCAGTAAGCTCAGAGCAAATGTCCCTGGCTCATTTCACACAACTCACAGCGCAGCTTTAGAGAAATGAATGAGGAATTTAAATAAATTACCTTTCCTCCCCAGTTAAGTCAGACAGGATGTTCATGGCAGTATCAGCCCTTGCATCAGTGCACTTGACAAATGCCATCAAAATCTGCAGCCATCTGGTGTCAAAATAATACAAAAAAACAACCAAAAATTGGTGTCAGCCTTGGTTTAATCATTATAGATCAAAATTCTATTTTTTTTGGGTTGTTGGTGTTTCAAGCCACAGTTAAATCTGCCCTTTTAAAGCACTCTCTGAGATGTGGCTCATTCCTTCCACCTTTCCTCCCCAGGAAAATGGACAATGCCACCTGATCATCATTATTGCCCAAACCAGTAAATGGACATTTCTCAGAGGGAGGATAAGGGACAAAGGCAATGGCATGGGGTTTCCTTCCCCACCCAGTGAGCCATGGCAACACTAAACAACCCCAAATCCTGATTTTTAAATGAGGAGAGACTCTCAGCTGCAACCCAGGAGATTTTAGAGGCACCAGGGCGAGCTCTGCCTGAGTGCTACACGGGTTTAGAGCAGGGGACTCCGAATTATTAAATTAATTTAAATCCTGCTTTGTTTCAGACATCAAAACTTCCTGCAGCTCTACCCCACACATCCAAGTTCCACTTCTGCCAGCCCAGGCCTGTCCCCAAGGGGCAGAAGCCTCAGTGCCACTGTGTCCCTTCAGGAATTCCCAGAATCACCGGGTTGGAAGAGAATTTAAAGATCACTGAGTGCAACCCAGCCCCAACAGCTCAGCTAAACCCTGGCACCCAGGGCACATCCAGGCTTTGTTAAACACACCCAGGGATGGTGACTGCTCCACCTCCCTGGGCAGAACATTCCAGAACTTTATCACCTTTCTGGGAAAAACTTCTTCCTGATATCCAGCCTGTATTTCCCTTGGCACAGCTGGAGGCTGTGTGCTCTGGTTCTGTCAGTGCCTGGAGAAGGAGCCCAGCTGAGCATGGGCACCTTTCAGGGTGATGAGGGCACCTTTCAGGGTGATGAGGGCACCCCTGAGTCTCCTTTTCCCCTCAGCTGGGGCAGCTCTGAGCCCTCCAGGACATTTTCCTGGCGCTGCTCACCTGCTCAGGTCCTGCCTGCCCAGCAGCCTCCGGCCCTCCTCGTGCTCAGAGTAGAGAGAGATCAGTGCCAAGGTCTCCCTCTGGATCTGGGCTGTGCCACAGGAGAGCAGCTCTGGCAGCTGGGCACCCACCTCGGGCTGGGCCAGCAGGAGACGCTGATTTTCTTCTGGAAGGAGAGAGAAAATCTCACTGCAATGTCACTCACTGGCTTCCTTTAATTTATGTATTAATAAATATTTATTTAATATTTATTTAATATTTAATTTATTTTATTTTTTTCAGCATGAATATTTTATTTAAACAGCTGAACCCCACAAGTCCACACAATATTCTGCATTTCCACTTTACCACCCACCCCAGCCCATTTCTCACCCACTAAAAACAGAGGCAGGTACCTGCCCAAGCACTATTGTTTGATAATTCTAAAATAATTCAGCCTTCTCTTCTGTAAAACTCTGCTTTTTGCAGGTGCAACTGCTTAAAACAGAGAAAATTGTGCAAGTGGTATTACCTTAAGAGCAGCAAAAATCGCAGGGAATTGACTTCCCACCCCTTGGGTGGATTGGAAATGCTCAGAGAGTGGGAATTTCACCCTCCCAAAATGATGCCACCTCCTCTGACCTGCAAAACTTGGGTTCCAACCACGTCTGGATGGGTGCAGGTGCTCCGGGAGAGGGGTGAAATGCCAAATTAATCTCCCATTAACGAGGGTGAGGGGGATTGCAGGGCTTTACCATTCCCAGCACAGGCAGCTTGCCACAGGAGGAGAAGGGAAACGCAGAGCTCCACCTCAGCAGGGCTTTTGCTCTCTGCACAGAAGGCCCTGGATGAGAAAAGTCAGCTTGAGAAAGAGCAGAGGAGGGATCAAACCATGGGAGACACCCAGGGAATGGGAATTTGGGTCACCCCTCAGGTCTGCCTGCAGCCCTGCCCAAAGTAGGGATGAACCCAAAAAAGTCTCAGTGCTGCAGGTGCCAGGAACACCCAAATATCCCCTGGCGCCCAACCCCAGCTCCAGGGGGTGCAGGCAGAGCCTTCAGATGTTCTTTTCCACTCAGAGTTTTTCTGCTCTCAGCACCGGGGACGGGATGACTGCCCAGAAAGGGCAGACACAAACAGCAACCCACAGATTCTCCTCCCTGCATCTCAGGAGCACCGCGTGTGCCAGGGCCAGGTACAAGCCCCTCCATTCAGACACCAAAATCTGGCATTACATCCTCCTCTGATCAGTTCATCTGCGTTTCAAGAGGCGATTCTGTTTCTTGAAAACAATATTGCATTTCCCCAGGCTGGAGTGGCCCTCTGGAGAGCTCTCACCCTCTGACAGCCTCGCTCCTCAGCACACTGAAGCCTTTGTTTGTCCTGAAGAACGTTTGCCCGGTGCCTGGAAGAGGCAGAGACAGCTCAGCTGTGTGACAGCCAGGCAGGCTGCTGCTCTTCCTGACCAGTGCTAAAAGAAAAGGTCACTGCAGCAGCAGCTCTGGGGAAAAACACCCTTGGAAACGGGGGAAGATTCGGGAAGGAATGAAGCAGGAGTGGTTCTGAAGCTGGGATTTGCTCTGATTCATGCCTGCTGCTGTTGGTTTCAAGTGAAAGATTATTCAGGAAGGCTGAAACACAAAACTGGCTTTGTAACTCAACGGCCTTTAACAGAGAATTACAAATATTTATAAACAAATGAGACCCCCCACTCCCCAAGAACTCTCAGCAGCTCAGCTACAGCATCAGTCTGATTCTAAAAAGTGCTGTAAACACCCATGGCCATGCTGAAATACCCACCATTGGCAGTTTTGTGGTTTAAATTGTTTTAAATACAGCAACACTTACTGTGTGGCCACAACTGAAATACCCACCATTGGCAGTTTTGTGGTTTAAATTGTTTTAAATACAGCAACACTTACTGTGTGGCCACAACTGAAATACCCACCATTGGCAGTTTTGTGGTTTAAATTGTTTTAAATACAGCAACACTTACTGTGCTCCTTTAAAACCTGCTCCCCTGCCTGGGTTACACTTCCCAAAATTAACAATGAACAAAATGAACAAAATTAACATTTTTCAGCAAAGACTCACAGCTGTTGAGAGCTGCTGCCAGCAGCCTGATGGCCCCTGTGTAGTAGGGGAGGGGGTGCCCGGGGGTGCTGATGCTCTGCAGCAATTTTTGGATGGATGCAGCAGCCACGCTCCCAGCCTGCAGCTCCCTCTCTGCCCTCTGCTCCTCCCTCAGCCTCTTCTCCTCCAGCCTGGCCTCGTTCATGCAATCTGCGAGGTCACGGGAGCCAGGAGTGGCAGGGAAATTCTGCTCCCTCTTCAGACAAAAAGGGGTGAAAGGATTTATTTCCTACCTTTGAACAGGTTTTCCTTCTGGGGGTCAATCTGCAGCATCTTCTCATAGCACTGCCTGGACTGCAGGGGGACAAAAAAAGGGTTCTCAGCTGCAGCTGGAAATAGGAATCAGTGATATCAGTGATATCCCAAAGGTTTCTGGGGCCACAGTCCTCAATAAACGTGAAAAGTAACATTTATGGAGACGCAGATGTCAAAACTCTCAGAAAAGTCAAATATTTTCAGTCCCTGCTTTTGCTGTTGCAAAGTCAAAGGGAATTTTCCAGTAAAACCCAAGGAGCAAAATATCAGAGCTCCGGTGAGAAAACAGAACCTGAGGCATGGAAAGTGTCCCCCTGTCACCCCCCAAGCAGAACAAAGCACAGGTTCAGCCAGCTCACCTCAGAGAAGTGCTGCAGGGCCAGGTGAGCCTTCCCCATCAGGAAATAGGCTTTGAGGCAGCTCTTGTTGCACTGAGGTAAACCAGAAATTATTATCAGTCACGTCTTTAGAACATTGCAGCCTTTCGGTATTTTTTTTTTCAGCATTCTGATTAATTATTAGAGCTGCCCAAAGCAAAGATGAGGGTGTTTATATCATTTATTAGTGGTGGATAAAGTTTTTATGCTGAATTACTGCCCCCAGGGACTGAAGAAAGGCTTGAGGTGAGGGTGGAAAGCAGGGTTTCCAAAAGGTGATTATTTCTCCTGTTTGTTTCAGTAAAAAAATATGGATTTCTGTAAATAATGCTGATTTCAGGGGTCTTTCCCACTTGGCAGTTCTGGAATTACCTTTAATGCCCACTCACAGTCACTGATGGCTTTCTCATACTCACGGAGCTTCAGGTAGGCCTGAAATAAACCAAAAAATAGTCCGGGCAGAAGAATTAGAATCCTTTAAACAACTTCTGCTCATTGTTGCACAAACACTGGCTAATTAAAAAGAATAAAATTAGGCTGCTGGTTGGCCTGGCCATTGATTTTGCAGGGTAATTTCCATGCTTAGCTTGTCTGCCATCTCCCTGGATTTTCTAATTTAGAATCAATGGAACAGAATTATAGACATACAAAAACATGGAGCATGCAAGGCAAACAGAGACTGCAAAGCAAATATTTCACTCTGCAGTTACAGAAGTGATTCCTGGGAAAGTATTAATCATAAAATATTTGCTATTTTATTAATAATAAAAAATTTGAATTAAACTGGGAACTGGAAGGATTTTCCCCACTTGCTGTGCAGGAGCAGGGATGCTCCACATGCAAGGGGTGTAAAAGAACAATGCTTTGGCCTTTTACCCTGCACAGCCACACAAAAACCAGCCCGAGGAGGCTCCTTCCCTGCACTGACCTGGGCCCTGTTTGTGTAGAGCTCCTGCTTGTCCCTCAGCTTCTGCAGCCCCTCCGAGTACCTCTGGATGGCCAGGGCAAAGTCTCCTGCCCTGAAGGCTTCGTTGCCCTGCTCCTTCAGGGCTGCAGAGCAGCAGAAAGCATTGAGAACAGCAGCAATGTCCATCAGCATTGAATGCATTTAATTAATATTTAATTTATTTCATTCTCCCAGTGGGACTGAGCAGGCAGAGGCCATGCTGTCCTGCTGGAACAGCTCCAGGGTTCCAGCCCAGCCATTATTTCCTTTATTTCCATGATTTCCATGATTTCATTTCCATTATTTCCATGATTTCCATGATTTCATTTCCATTATTTCCATTATTTCCATGATTTCATTTCCATTATTTCCATGATTTCCACGATATCATTTCCATTATTTCCATGATTTCCATTATTTCCATGATTTCCATTATTTCCATTATTTCCATGATTTCATTCCCATTATTTCCATTATTTCCATGATTTCCACGATTTCATTTCCATTATTTCCACGATTTCCATGATTTAATTTCCATTATTTCCATTATTTTCATTATTTCATTTCCATTATTTCCATGATTTCATTTCCATTATTTCCATTATTTCCATGATTTCATTTCCATTATTTCCATGATTTCATTTCCATTATTTCCATTATTTCCATTATTTAATTTCCATTATTTCCATGATTTCCACGATTTAATTTCCATTATTTCCATTATTTAATTTCCATGATTTCCATGATTTCATTTCCATTATTTCCATGATTTCCACGATATCATTTCCATTATTTCCATGATTTCCATTATTTCCATGATTTCCATTATTTCCATTATTTCCATGATTTCATTCCCATTATTTCCATTATTTCCATGATTTCCATTATTTCTATTATTTCCACGATTTAATTTCCATTATTTCCATTATTTAATTTCCATTATTTCCATGATTTCCACGATTTCATTTCCATTATTTCCATTATTTAATTTCCATTATTTCCACGATTTCCATTATTTCATTTCCATTATTTCCATTATTTTCATTATTTCCATGATTTCCATTATTTCCCTGCAACCATTCCCCTTCCAGAGGGAAGCCCGAGTGCTCCCCTCCCTCCCAGCCCCACCACCAGGAGATCATGCAGAGAACCAGGAGCCCTGACGCTGCCCCGGGGCTGGGGACAGGACAAGCCCAGCTGTGCCTCCCTCAGCCCCCGGTGGGTGATTTCTGGAGGCAGAGCCTGCAGAGCCCTCAGCAGTCACCGTTTGCCAGCTGCTCGTTCCTCCTCCTGCGCTGGGCTCGTTCCTTGGCATCCTGCTCCAAAGCTGCCAGGAAGCCATCTTCCACCAGGCATTTCAGGGAGGGGAAAAAAGAGCAAACTTCATTAAACAGAGAAGGAACAATAACGCCCAGGGTGCTTCTGAGTCAGTTCTTCATAAAAGCCAATACTAAGGGGGCATTTCAGTAATTAAAGTGGAAGTGGCTGGCGAGCTGTCACAGACAAGGATGTGACAGCCCTGAGGATCTGCACACCTGCCTCGCTCCTCTCCAAACCAACAGGTTTGCTCTGAAACCCGCAATAAAAACTGTAAAAAGATGAGGAGCCAGAAGAGAACAAGGCTCCCACCTGTGAGAAACACAGCCAGGCTGCTGAGAGCTTGAGTGTGGTCCTAGACCTGGCTGAATTTTGGTTCAGACACCAGGAAAAGCCAGCTTGGACTTTGGCAGGGGTGGAGTCAGCTCTCAATGAGCTCCATCCCTGCTGGAACTGGTTTTGGGGCTGTGGCAGAGTGAGAGGAGCAGTGTCCTACCTGCATCTGCTGCCTGCACCCTCGGCGTGCCCTGGAAAAACACAAACAGCACAAGTGGTTTGGGAAAAGCCACAGCAGCAGAGGGACACTTGGCTGGGCTGGACAAAGCCACAGCGAGCATCAGGAATGTCTGGTGCATCCCAAATTCCCAGCCTGACACACAGCAGGAGCAGCTTGATATTTTTTGTTTGATATTTAAACAAAGCAGGCAAGGATCTCATCAATTTTGGCGTTCCTGGAACGTTTCCATTTGTGTTTTTATCGAGGGAAGACCTGGACTGAGCCCAGCTTTAATTTCAGAGGGAAAAGCCCTTACAGAGGTGTTGATGAGTGTCCTGTTCACCGTGGTCCTGCTCTCCTCCTCCTCCTCCTCCTCCCTGCTGGCCCCTTGCTCTCGGAGCCTTTTCTCTGTCTCAGCAATGGCTTTTTCCTGCACAGCCGAGTCCGGGGACTTCAGGCCTTGCAGCAAATTGGCTAAAAAGTCATAGAAAACACCCAAATAAAATATATTTACACACAGAACTTCAAAAGTGGAAGCAGCAGGAGTCCAGGTGGCACCTGCTTTGAAGGCAGCGCTGACCAGGATGGCTTTTACCACAAAACCACAAAATCCCAGACTGGTTTGGGGTGGAAAAGACCTTAAACCCCAGCCAGTCCCACGGGCAGGGACCCCTCCCATAGACCAGGGTGCTCCAGCGGGGCCTTGGGCACTTGGGATGAACAGAATCGTCCCCAGGGTGGATTTCCCGGCACTTTCAGGAGCCACCTGCGGTTTCTGCCAACATTAACGAAATTCACAGAGGCGAGCGGCTCCAGCATCCCCAGTAAAAGCGAGAGCCCCGCAAAACCTCCCAGAGCAGAGAGGGCAGGGAAACACGGAATAAACCGAGCCGGGGAGGGGCACAGAGGCGCTTTCCCCGTTCCCACCGGCCCCGGCCCTGCCCTTCTCCGCTGTCCCCGCGCTGTCCCCGCGCTGTCCCCGCGCTGTCCCCGCGCTGTCCCCGGGCCCCTCCGGCACTCACTGACATCGTCCACGCGGCGCAGGAAGCGCTGGAAATCCGCCTCGGTGTCCTCGTCGCGCAGCATGGCCGGGGGACACCGGGGGGACACCGGGGGGACACCGGGGGGACAGCGAGGGGACAGCGAGGGGACAGCGCCGGGGCCGGGCTCGAACCCGCGGCGCCGTTGCCGGGGGAACGCGCCTGACGCCGCACGCGCGGGTGGGCGTGGCGATGCAAATGAAGGGCGGGGTTATGCAAATAAGAGACACGCCCGTTATTCAAATTAAAGAGGCGGGGCTATGCAAATGAGCCGGTAATTTGGCTCGGGATGCCGGGGTTGTCCCGGCTGGGAAGGAGCCCCGGCAGCCCCGAGCCCTCCCCGGGACCCGTGCCCACCCTGTCCCCAGCCCAGAGCTCGGGTGACACGTCCAGGCCCCCCCGGGATGGGCACCCAACCCCCCGGGCAGCCCCTGCCGATGGTTAAAGCTTGCCATGAAACATTCCTGCGGTGCCCAGCCTCAAGCTCGTGCCCATTTTAGTGCCAGCCTGGGATCATTTTCCCGTTCCGATCTCCCTGAAGGCTTCCCGGCTCTCTGCCATGGAAGCTGTCGGCCACCGCAGGGAGCCCGAGCACCGCGGAGCCGCGCTGGCCGGGGTTGGCATTCCCGGTACATCCTCAACCCGGGACTGGCATTCCCGATACATCCTCAGCCCGGGATTGACATTCCCGGCACATCCTCAAGCCGGGACTGGCATTCCCGGTCTTCCCGGTACATCCTCAACCCGGGATTGACATTCCCGGTACATCCTCAGCCCGGGACTGGCATTCCCGGTACATCCTCAGCCCGGGATTGGCATTCCCGGCACATCCTCCACCCGGGATTGGCATTCCCGGTACATCCTCAGCCCGGGATTGGCATTCCCGGTCCATCCTCAACCCGGGATTGGCATTCCCGGTCCATCCCCACCCCGGGCTGGCACATTCCGGGCAGGGACAGGGACAGGGAGCGGCAGCACAGGGACAGCCCGGCCGCAGCCACTGCCCCGCTTCCCCGTCCATCCTCATCAGCTGGAGATGGGATCCCGAGTGCCAGAGAGGTGCTGAGCTCTGCAGGCAGCCAGAGTCCCCATCCCTGCCAGCCCTTGGCTGTGGGAACAGCCAGGACACCCCCTTTCCTTGTGGGAACAGCCAGCACATCCCTTTTCCTTGTAGGAATAGCCAGGATATCCCTTTTCCTTGTGGGAACAGCCAGGATACCCCTTTTCCTTGTAGGAACAGCCAGGTTATCCCTTTTCCTTGTGGGCACAGCCAGGAAACCCCTTCTCCTTGTAGGAACAGCCAGGTTATTCCTTTTCCTTGTGGGAACAGCCAGGACACCCCCTTTCCTTGTAGGAACAGCCAGCACATCCCTTTTCCTTGCAGGAACAGCCAGGTTATCCCTCTTCCTTGTAGGAACAGCCAGAATACCCCTTTTCCTTGTGGGAACAGCCAGGTTATTCCTTTTCCTTGTGGGAACAGCCAGCACATCCCTTTTCCTTGTAGGAACAACCAGGTTATCCCTTTTCCTTGCAGGAACAGCCAGGTTATCCCTTTTCCTTGCAGGAACAGCCAGGATACCCCTTTCCCCCCTCATGCCCCAAACTCAAACAGTTCCCATCCCTCCCCTCACTGCCATCAGCTCTGCCTGCACCACCCTCCATCCCAAAGGGTTTTATTTTCTCTCTAATGAAGCTGTTCCCAGCCAGTGTCCAATTAAAAACACCCACAAGGCCACAGCTGGGGTGGTGGGAAGCTCGGGAATTTGGGGTTTATTTGTTATCCCACAAAACCTGGGGAATAAAGCCACACAGGGCAGTGAATGTGCAGGGGGGAGAGGCACCTTTAGTCTCTGAATGCTTCAAAAAGCACTTAAAACGGTGCTCTGAAGCTCATGCACGATATTCAGATACTGAAATCTGGTAAAAGGCCAGCTAACGATGATTTCTAGAAAGGGGCAGCACAAAATTCTCCCTCCAGCCCCCCAGCCCCGCTCAGACTTACCCCAAATTCAGCCCGGGGGAAAAGGAGCCACACTGAGCCAAGGTGACACTGCCAGTCGGGTGCCATGGCCTTAACAGAGGGAGAGACGAGGGAGAATTACAATTAAATGGAAACGAAAAGGTCTGAGGGTTGAGAAAACGGCTGAGGAAACGCAAAGATCTAACAAGGGATCTGTCAGTGGTTTTGTCACCGAGCACGGCCCCAGCTCCAGGGGCAGGAAAATCCCTTTTCACTTCTCTGGGAGAAGGGGAGAGGTGCAGAGGGAGCCGGGCACGGGCAGGGCACAGCTCCCACCCGGCTGGCACACACACACGGACCGGGGGCACTGAGGGGTCTCTGAAGCCAGGACAACCCCAAATGTCCAGGGGCGACCCCACTGCCTCCCCTCCAACCCCAACTGGGCCCATTGCTGCCTCCCCACTGGGAGCTGCGGGTGTTTTTTACATCAGGGAGGGACTTAAAGAGCTTTTTTTTCAGCTGAATGGGAACTTCCATGTGAGAATCAGCTTTATTTTGCACAAATTGGTGAAGGTAAAACAACCCTTCCCTCCCCATAATCCCCAGAGTAAAAAAAAAATTAAAGTTGGGCATTTGGGCAATTTTTAGCTAGGATTTAGAAAGAAAAAATCAAGACTTTAAAATGAATTAATTGAATAAATTAATTACATTTAAATCTCATGAAGTTTGGGCTCCCAATTCAGGCTGGGAAGAGGTCACCTCTTACACCCAACACTCAGTCACCCCATCCATAGCCAGGCACCAGAAAAATGCCTTTTTTGGGGGAAAAAGCTTCCTAGCAGCTGTAAAACTGCATTTCTGTGTTTGCTATCTCCAGGAAAGAAGAAAATAAATGTAGAGGGACAAAGAAATAAACTTGCAAGGGGGACAAGGCAGCTAAAGAAGGGCAGACTGCAGGCATCGGCTTTTTTTTTTTTTTTTTTTGTAGTTTTTATTTGAACACAGTATTCTGACAGAATGCAAAGTCAAAATCCTCAGTTAGTATCAGTATTTACACCAGTGAGAATGGGGATAAAGGTGGAGTCGATGTTTCACTCGGTAAAAAGATTTTTTGATTTTTTTTCCGTTTTTTAACAAGATAGAAGGCCCCCAAAAGTAGGGAATGCTGGGGAAGGATGGCCATGGAGGGGCTGAGAACAACGATCAGAACAGCCTGGTGGTGAAGGACGCGGGCCCTGAAGGCTCCTGGGGAAGGGTGAAAGAAAACGCCACGCTGGAAGCTGACGGGCGGGATGCACTATTGTCACCGGCACGAATGGTGCAGCACGAGATGGCACCGCTCCTGCGACACTGGGGACAGGCAGGGGGCAGCCACGGCAGCGCCACCAGCCCCGGAGGGACACGGAGCCATGGCAGTGCCACCAAGCCTGGGAGGGACACGGAGCCATGGCAGTGCCACCAGCCCGGGGATGGACACACAGAGCCATGGCAGTGCCACCAACCCCAGAGATGGACACACAGAGCCATGGCAGTGTCACCAACCCCAGAGATGGACACACAGAGCCATGGCAGTGTCACCAGCCCTGGAGCAGCCATGGCAGTGCCAACAAGCCTGGGGATGGACACACAGAGCCATGGCAGTGCCACCAACCCTGGAGCAGCCATGGCAGTGTCACCAAGCCTGGGATGGACACAGAGCCACGGCAGTGCCACCAAGCCTGGAGCAGCCATGGCAGTGTCACCATCCCTGGGGATGGACACATGGAGCAGCCACAGCAGAGTCACCAACCCCAGGGATGGACACCAGCCCTGGAGCAGCCATGGCAGTGCCAACAAGCCTGGGGATGGACACACAGAGCCATGGCAGTGCCACCAAGCCTGGAGCAGCCATGGCAGAGTCACCAACCCCGGGATGGACATGGAACAGTCACAGCAGTGTCACTAACCCTGGAGCAGCCATGGCAGTGCCACCAAGGCCAGGGATGACACCCAGAGCCACAGCAGTGCCACCAAGCCCGGAGCAGCCACGGCAGTGCCACCACGCTCAGGCTGGTGTCCCCTGAGGGGACAGATCCCAGCTGTGAGGCTGCAGCTGGCTGGACCAGGGCAGCTGGAAATGAAATCTGGAATTCTTTGCTGCTGAGCCCAGCACGGTGTGGGGACGGTCACTGGAAGGAGCTGCTCCCTCCTGAGCTCGCTCCATCCACCCCAAACCAGAGCTCTGGGATGGAAGGGACCTGAAATCCCAGCCAGTGCCACCCCAGACTGTCACCGGCGCTGGGCTGGGCTCTGAGCTCGTCCCCTTTTGGGACAAACCCTCCAGTCCAGGTGGGGATCTCAGAGCCCCTGGCAGGTGCTGGTGGAGGTCCCTGATTGGGACAAACCCTCCAGTCCAGGTGGGGATCTCCCCAGAGCCCTGGCAGGTGCTGGTGGAGGTCCCTGGGCAGGTTTTTGGGGTGGTGCTGTGGTTCCCACCAGCTGCTGAGCTTTGGGGGTCACAGCACACACAGGTGACAAAACCAGCCAGAACTGGGCACAAAAAGGGACAAACTGTGCTCAGCCCCGGGGATGGAGGCACCGCTGCTGCCCAGCTGGTTTATGGACTCATTTCTTTGAGGAAAAGAAAGGAATCCTCGTGACCAAGGTCCCCAGAGGTCAGGGACACTGCTGTGAGGGTGACACCGGGGCTGGGTTTGGGGACAAGGCCCCATCCTGCCCAAAATCCAGGCAGGAGTGGGGGGCAGCCTCAGGCTGCACCCTCCCCGTGCCCCCCAGGAGCTGAGCAAAACAAAACCAAGAAACCCCACAGTTAGCAAAGACAAGAGCATTGTTTCTCACAGCTGGGATGGTGGGATGCCACTGAACAGAGTGCATGTTCCCAAAAAACACACGGACACAGCCTCCACACCCCTCCTCCTCCTCCTGGAGTCACCTCGGCTCGCTTCTCTCCTTTCAAGGCTTCTGCTCTTTCTAAGAGTTGTTCTCTTTCTCTCTTTGTTTTAAATTAATTCCTGAATGTTGATATTTTTTATTTTTGTTTCTCAAATCTGAACTAGCGCTACACCTTCCACATCCAAACTATGTTGAAGCTTTTATTATTTCAATACTATGACAAAAAACACGGTTCACACTAAAATAGTCACGCACCCACAGTGCACAAGCTTGCAGATC